GCAGGTCTCATACTTTAGGGCTCAAGCAGTCCTGCCTCGACCTCCCAAAGCGCTGGAATTACAGGCGCGCGCCACTGTGCCTGGCCTGCCAGTTTTCTTTTTGCATGTTGCTCAATACAGGCTGAAGCATCGCCCCTTCCAGGAATTGTTGGATTTTTAGCAGGAAATGTTGAAACCCTAAGAAATCCTGCAGGATTCCAAGAACACATTTCCAATCTCAGGCCATGCCCTGGGGACCTGAGAAATCCTCTGTGGTGACATGACCCAGTGTGTCTGACACCTGCTGGGAAGATTGGCCAGCTACAGTCCTTAAGTTTGAGCACCAGGACTCTCATGGCTTTAGGTGTGACAGGGTGTGTGGTAACCCCAAATGCTCATGGCATTCAGAAGCCATGGCCTCTCCAGGAGGACCTCTGGCCCCAGAGGGGGACTTTAGCAATGACGGCACAGGAGTCGTGGTTCTGGAAAGATTCTGGAGGGACACAGTACAAGCACAAACAGAGAGAGTAAATGCCAATGAGGACCACTGTGAGGACCCCAGAACACCAGGGATGGACAGAAGGCTCTAGAACTACACAGTCATGCAGCGGCCGTTAGCTCCAGTGGCTGTGGAGTTCTGAGCACATGACAGGTCCCCACTGAGATGTGCTGTGAGTGTAAAATACACTCACGATATCAAAGGTGTGGTAAAATGTCTCACCAGTAATTTTCATGTTGATTATGGCTTGAAATCATAGCATTTTTTGATATATGGGATTAAATAAAATAAATTATTAAAACTAATCCCACTTCTTTCTTTTTACCATTTAAATTATGTCTATTAGAAAGTTGAGGGCAGGTGCGGTGGCTCACAACTGTAATCCCAGCACTTTGGGAGGCTGAGCGGGGAGGATCACTTGAGCCCAGGAGTTTCAGACCAGCCTGGGTAACATAGCAAGACTCTTCAAAAAGCATATCTTTTAGTTAGCTAAAAGTGGTGGCATGCACCTGTAGTCCCCACTACCCAGGAGGCTGAGGTGGGAGGACTGCTTGAACCCGGGAGGTGGAGGCTGTAGTGAGCTGTGATCACACCACTGCACTCCGGCCTGGGTGACGGAGTGAGACCCTGCCTCACACACATAAAACACACACACACACACACACACACACACAGTTGGGGAAAATTGGAAATTAAGGAAAAATTTTAAGTTAAAAAAAGAAAGAAAATTAGACTGACTTTGGTCAGCACTAGGCTATAAGTTTCTACAGAGATAAAGAGGTCACATCTGACAGTTCAAAGGCGGCAGGTTTCTTAGGGCTAATACTGCAGGGGAAGTGGAGCAATGCTAAATTTCTGAGGAGGGTGCAGTGCAGAGAGCACTCACTCAGGCAGAGTGATAAGGGCAAAGTTAACAGGTCGTTAAATGTTCAAAGAAGAAAAATATATCTCTCCTGTGTATGTCTCTGCAGGAGCTACTGGAGAGTGTATTTCAGCAGCACAAAGTAGTAAATCAAGAAGGGAGGAAGACAAGGAAACCAGGAGATAAGATCCCATGCTGGAAAGAGATTGGGGTATTTCAGGACACTAGCCGCATGCTGGGTTTAAAGCCAAACGGGTACATTGCAGAGCAGGAGGACACATGGCTCTCAGTGGCAGTGTTTGGGTGGAGACATGGGCGAGTGAGGTTATTTAATGTGTGTGAGCATTTGGGGAAAGTATCACGAGGCATTGGAAAGTATTTGGAGAAAAATCAGAGAACTTCTCTAGAAAACTAAGCAATTACATGAGACAGTTATTAATCCCAGAAAATACTCAGAGTTGTGCAAGAAAGGAAATGCAGTCACAGTTTGCCACGTGGATCAACAGAGAGTATATGAAGCCATAATAATAGCAAGACTCTATTAGGGGCCAGGTATCCTAGTAATCCTAGTGCTTTGGGAGGCCTAGGTGGGAGGATTGCTGGAGGACAGGAGTTCAAGACCAGATTGGGCAACAAAGTGAGACCCCTTCTCTACAAAGTTTTAAAAATTAGCTGGATGTGGTGGAGTGTGCCTTTAGTCCTAGCTACTTGGGAGGCTGAGCTGCGAGGATCACTTGAGTGCAGGAGGTTGAAGCTGCAGTGAGCCATGATTGTGCCACTATACTGCAGCCTGGGCAACAGAGCGAGACCCTTTCTTAAAAAAAAAAAACACTATTAATTCTATTAATTTTTTTTTTAAACTCATAGTATCTAAGTTGAGGGGACAGGGCAAGGCAAACTGGGGTGGTTAGGCCAGAAAAACCCTCCAGTATCATAACAGAAGTTGATAATATGTTTAAAACTAATAAAATTGAGAACTAACAGTACATGCAAATTGTTTAGAAATATAGAGGAAAATTTTAGAAGGAACTGAATGGAGTAGAAAGTTGTTGTACTTGAGGTGGAGGATGGGGCTGAGGAAAGATGAAACAAGGATTGCTAGTACCTTTGATTCAATTATATGCATGCTTTAGTTGGATTTAATAATAATTATTTTTAAAATCACATGACAACTTCTCACCCCATGAGCTTCTTTGGTGACATTTTAATTTAATTCTGGTGACATTTCAATGGGTTAATACATTTTCTGTGAGCCGCTTGCTCCACTCAGTCCTGCCCTCTCTGCTGAGGGGCTGAAGCCAGGTACCCACCCCTTACCACGGACCCAGCAAGTTGTGCCTTTCCCTCTGGGACCCGCATGCATGTCTCCTCCTTGCAGTCTTTCTCCTGTCATTCTACAGCTATTCAGGTCACCGTAGATTATTTTAGAGACAGTGGATAAGATGCTAATGAATACTTGGAGTAGCATTTGTTAAAAATGAAATACGTGTTAGCATGCATATTTGAACAAGAAGCAGTTTGGATCGGAAAATGAACAGAGTTGGGGAAGACACACAAGGGGACCTCTGCTCTCCTTCAGTGTTCTGGCAACTCAAGGCAACTTGTTTTTCAAGGCAGCTTTTCTCCACCTGGTTGCATCATTTTCCCCCCAGCTACATTTTCAGAGTTCCCCATCTTGTATTTCACAACTGACAGAATTTGCCATGGGTTCATTAGGAAACAAAACAAAGCATGTCTTTTCTGTATGAATATGAGCACATGTGAAAAGCTGGGTTCTGACCATGTGATGGATTTTTAGAACCAGCATTTTTAATGGCTAGAATTAAGGCCTCCCATTTGTAGTTTCTCTCTCTTTTCCTCTTGTTCCTTCCTTCTCTCTTTCAGCCTTTCCCCCCGCCCCCTCTGTCCTTCATTTACAAGCTCATGTAACCTTGTACAATTGAATCCTTACCCTGGAGATTGTCATAGCAGAACCAATTGTGCCCTAGGAAATAAATGATACAAGAATTGAAACACAGCGTCAACATATGGTAGAAGAATTGTCAATAATGTTTTTGAAAAACTGGGGATATTGGAGGCTATTACCTTGGGAGGAGGAAGCAATTGTTTAATAAATATAAAAGCCACAGATATGTAACAACGTCTTGTCTGGCAAATATTTCATCTGTGGGAACCACTAACTGAAGTCATTTGAAGATGTGGCAGAAGCATCCCAAGCAAGTTAGGGGCTCAGAACTGGCCATGTGATTATATCAAGGAAGCCAAGTTCTACTGCAGAGGCCCCTATCTGAAAGAGGGACTTCTTGTCATGCTCATTGAGGAGCGCCTTTGTGTGTGTGTGCATGTGTAAGAAATATTAGTTTTATTTACCAGTTTTCACAGCTGAATATTTATTCTATAAAACTTTACAGAATGTATGGTTTATATACAGTTCAAACTAATGAATGAAAAGGCAGATCCCACGGATGCAAAGACACTGTACCAATCTACCTAAGGTAAAGGCAGATTTACACATGGTACATCTCTCCACGTGGCAAGGCAGGAGGTTAGTTCTAAGTGTATACTTCCAAACTGTGCAAAAGTAAGGTTTTGCTTTTATTTTGCTCTTCATAGTTTCAATATGATTGCAAACTGAGAACCCTAACTAATAATAGGTGTCTGGAGTCCGGAGTCAGTACCCGCTCCTGGAAGGAATGCATGTGTCTATCCACACAGGGCACTCGTGGACACCATACTGAACTCAGTATACTGTATAGACATAAAAGCAGAGACCGGGAATGTTAAGGTAGTTCTCCTTTGTTTGGAAAGGAGTTTTTGCACTTAGTAGTGCACCAAAAGGACTTTAACTTATTAAGTAAAATATATTCTTGGTGAACCTAAAAATTACACCTTATCAACATAAAAATACTTTATTTTGGTGTAACCCATCAATCATGTCTGCAAATAGAAAACCAAAACCATATGTAAAGTAGCATATCTCACCAACAAGAAGCAGTTATGTAGTTATTTTTCAAAAGGTCAGAAAAACTATTTAAAACCTGCTAAAGACTAACATATAACTGAGTTATTCAAACTGAATAGCGATTCCCTAATAGTGCAAAGCAAGTCTTCTAGAGACAGTGGTTTCTTCATGTTAACTGGGTAACAACTGGACATATTTTAAAAAGAAGCGGAAACCAACTGATACCTCAGCTTGAATCCTAAGCATATGTCTGGTTTAGGAGTATACACCTCAGTGGATTTTTCATCAAAAGTATTTATCCTAGAAGCTAAGTCTTACTTTTGATTTAGAATTTCCCTACTCTGAGATATCTGTACCTTCTTGGAGAAAAAGCCAATGCCTCAGGTGACTCTCTATCTCTGTGTGGGGCAGTGGAGGTGAGACTGGCGAATACTCCTTTGGATTCTGTGTTCTAGAATGAAAAAATGAGGAAAACAAACATCATTCCAGACTTTTCTATCACCAAAACCAATAAAACACACTTCTGTTTTTTTATACGGTACTAACCAAATAAATCAGAAACTGGAGCTTCTAAAAGCACTCTAGTGCTCATAATTATACTTTTACACTTGTGTGTGTATAAGTATGAAACACAGATGCTTAGACAAAGAAGGGTTGTACTTACTATTTTATTTTATTATTTTGTTTTAATGCTACAGTACCTTCAAGCTCCTTGATAATACATAGCGTGGATGTTCCCACTCCTGCTTCCAGGCATAAGCTTCAGGCGAGCTTGTTTCAGGCTGTGAGAATGGATGAGGACAGCTGGAGCCAATGATGTTCTGCTGCTCAGCCAGATCCTGGTGTCATCACTGGGCAGCCCTACACTGGAAACTTGTCCCACTTCCCCTGTAAGTACTTTCACCTGGAGTCCATCCTTTGGGCAGAACCCCAGATTTTCTTGAGTACCTCACACACCCTCTCATTGGCCTGTTCCAGATCTATCTTCATGTTGTGGCACACGAAGGCTTTTGGATTTTCCAGCACTACAGGATTAAAGGAGACAACCTTCTTCATCTGGAGCATCAGTTCCTGAGTGAACGTCCTGGACCAAAATGAGGACCTGGGAAATGAGGACCTTGCCGCAGGCCTCCTTGTGTGTTCAGCTTCTGCCCACAGAGGAACATCTGATTTGCCACTGCTCCTGCTGTTTTCTTGGGAAATGTAATTGTAGAACAGCTACCTAGAATCTGTCTGGAACGAGCAGAGGGTGTATGAAACAAAGCCTTTTCCTGAGCCCAAACCGTATCCCAAAAAGGCAACATAGATGGCCCTAGCCGAATTGCTGGGCCATTGACACTGCTTCGCTAATAGGCAGCTTAAGCTGAATGATAGTATTTCTGAAGTTCCACCCATGCAAGTACAGAGCAGGCTGGAATCCACCTAACATGGGAGACCAAACGAGACTGGACGCATTCAGGCTGATATGGCCGTAGATTACTCACAAAATTCTGGTAGCTTCTTGGCTTCTTGAACTGAATGATACTATTGACAAAGTTCCTGTTATGTATGTACTGAAGAGGCCAGATGCTGCTTCACTTCCGAGAACAGATGAAATCGGGCAGGTTGAGGGTGGTATGGCTGAAGATTACTCACAAAGTTTCTGGTAGCTTCTCCTGATTCAGTAATAGGTTTTTTGAAGTGAATGAAAGTGTTCACCAAGTTCCTGTGCTGTATGATCTACAGAGGCCAGACCCTGCCTAACTTCGGAGACCAAACGAGATTGGGCACGTTCAGGCTGGTATGGCTGTAGATTACTTAGAAAGTTTCTGGTGGCTTCTCTCGCTTTGGTAATAGGTTTTTTGAAGTGATTGAAAGTGTTCACAGAGTTCCTGTGCTGTACGTACTACAGAGGCGAGACCCTGCCTGTCTTTAGAGACTAAATGAGATTGGGTGCATTCAGGCTGGTACGCTTGTACATTGCTCAGAAAGTTTCTGGTAGCTTCTTCCACTTCAGTGATAGGTTTCTGGAAGTGAATGAAAGTGTTCACAAAGCTCCTGTGCTGTATGTACTATAGGGGCCAGACCTCGACCAATTTTGGAGACTAAACGAGATTGGGCGCATTCAGCCTGGTATGGCTTTAGATTACTCACAGAGTGTCTGGTAGCTTGTCCCACTTCAGTAATAGGTTTTCCAAAGTGAATGAAAGTGTTCACAAAGTCCTGTGCTGTATGTACTACAGAGGCCAGACCCTGCCTAACTTCAGAGACCAAACGGGATTGGGCGCATTCAGGCTGCTATGGCTGTAGATGACTCAGAATGTTTCTGGGGGCTTCTCTCGTGTCACTGATAAGTTTTTTAAAGTGAATGAAAGTGTTCACAAAGTTCCTGTGCTGTATGTACTACAGAGGCCAGACCCTGCCTAGCTTCAGAGACCAAACGGGATTGGGCGCATTCAGGCTGCTATGGCTGTAGATGACTCAGAAAGTTTCTGGTGGCTTCTCTCGCTTCACTGATAAGTTTTTTAAAGTGAATGAACGTGTTCACAAAGTTCCTGTGCTGTATGTACTATAGAGGCCAGACCCTGCCTAACTTCAGAGACCAAACGGGATTGGGCGCATTCAGGCTGGTATGGCTGTAGATTACTCAGAAAGTTTCTGGTGGCTTCTCTCACTTCACTAATAAGTTTATTTATTTATTTTTTATTTTTTTTATTTTTAGGGAGGGAAGGAGGAAGGGAGGGAGGAAGGAAGGGATGAAGGAAGGAAAGAAGGGAGGAAGGGAGGGAGGGAGGGAGGCAAGGGAAGGAAGGAAATCAAGCAGTGAGAGCCACATTGCCGACCTGGATCTAGAGGTTTACAAGTTGATTTCTTTTTTTTTTTTTTTATTCTTGAGAGAAGGAAAGAAAAAAAAATGAGTAAAGGAGAGGAAGAAAGAGGAAGAGAAAGAGGAATGGTGAACGGAAATATTGCTTTATTCTGAAAAAAAAATGAGTATTAATAATGGCCAATCAATGTTTCATTTAAACCTATGAGTAGGTGTGATGTGGTACTGACAAGAATGTATATTTTGTGTATTTAAAGTGGAGAGCTCTATAAATATTTATTAAGTTTACTTGTTTTGGATCTGAGTTCGAGTCCTTGATATCCTTATTAATTTTCTGTCTCATTGAATCTAAGTCTCTATGTATCTGGGTGTTAGGATCGTTAGCTCTTGTTGTTGCATTGATCCTTTTACCACTATATCTTTGTTGCTTTAAAATCTGTTTTATCCAATACGAGAATTGCAACTCCTGCTTTTTATTTATTTATTTATTTTTTTGTTCTCCATTTGTTTGGTAAATCTTTGTCCATCCCTTTGTTTTGAGTCTTTGTGTATCCTTGCATGTGAAACGGGTCTGGATGTAACATGCCGTTGGGTTTTGGCTGTGTCTTTTGATTGGGGGATTTAGTTGATTTAAATTTAGGGTTACTGCCATTTGATGTTAACTGGCTGTTTTATCCATTTGTTGATGTAAATTCTTCTTTATGTTGATGCTCTTTACTTTTTGGCATATTTTTAGAAAGGCTAATACTGGTTGTTTCTTTCTGTGTGTAATACTTCTTTCAGAAGCTCTTGTAAAGCAGGCCTCGTGGTAATAAAATCTCTGAGTACTTGCTTGTTCATAAAAAGACTTTATTTTTCCTTCAGTTGTGAAGCTTAGTTTGGCTGGATATGAAATTCTGGGCTGAAGGTTCTGTTCTTTGAGGATGTTGAATATTGGCCCCCACTCTCTTCTGGCTTGTAGAGTTTCTGCTGAGAGATCTGCTGTAAGTCTGATAGGCTTGCCTTTGTGGGTAACCTGACCTTTCTCTCTGGCTGCCCTTAGTATTTTCTCCTTCGTTTCAACCCTGATGAATCTAACGATTATGTGCCTTGGGGTTGCTCTTCTTGATGAGTATCTTTGTGGTGTTCTCTGTATTACCTAGGGTTGAATATTGACCTGCTTTGCTAGTTTAGCAAAGTTTTCCTGAATAATATCCTGAAGGGTATTTTCCAGCTTGGATTCATTCTCTCGGTAGCATTCAGGTACACCTATCAAACGTAAATTTGGTCTTTTCACATAGTCCCACATTTCTTGGAGACTTTGCTCATTCCGTTTTATCCTTTTTTCTCTAATCTTGTCTTCTCGTTTTATTTCATTAAGTTGGACTTCGACCTCTGATATCCTTTCTTCTGCTTGAACAATTCGAGTGTTTAAACCTGTGCATACTTCTCGGAGTTCCTCTATTGTATTCTTCAGTTCCATTAATTCACTTATATTCCTCTCTAAGTTGTCTGTTCTCATTAGGATTTCATCAAACCTTCTTTCAAAGTTCTTAGTTTCTTTACGTTGTGCTAAAACATGTTCTTTTAACTCGCAGAAGTTTCTTATTATCTATGCCCTGAAGCCTGATTCTCTTATTGGAATGAGCTCATTCTCCATCAAGCCTTTTTCCATTGTTGATGTGGAACTGTGATCATCTTTAGAGGGAGAGGTATTCTGACTTTGAGTATTCTCAGCTTTTTTATGCTGGTTTCTTCCCATTATTGTAAATTTATCCTCCTGTCGTCTTTGAAATTACCAACTTTCAGATTAGATCTCTTGAGTGGACGTCCAAGTTGTTAGTTCCCAGGGCCAGAACAGCGGTGTTAAGATTGATGGTGCTTTTCTGCCGAGGATTCTCCTGTCTGACTTCCTTCTTGTGTCCGTAATATTCGACTCTGCCTTCCCGGAGCTCCAAACCTCAGTCAGAAGGGGAACCAGTCCCGTTTACTCTGCGCCGAGAGCTGCCACGCCGAGGTGCCGGCACAACCACTGTGCCGGCCACAGGAGTCGTGCTGGGAACCTCGGTCAGAAGGGGAGCCAGCCCAGTATACTCTGCTTCGAGAGCTGCCGCGCCGAGGTGCCAGTGAAACCACTGTGCCGGCCACAAGAGTTGTGCTGGCGACCCGTGTGGCTCCTCCACTGGGATTCTTCTGCTCTGTGAGCGACCAGAATTTGTCTGAAAGTGTGGAGTCCTCTAGTTCTCTGCGCTTTCACTGAGAGCTGCAATCCCAAGATGTTAGTAATCGGCCATCTTGGATCCTTCCTAATAAGTTTTTTTAAAATGAATGAAAGTGTTCACAAAGTTCCTGTGCTGTATGTACTACAGAGGCCAGACCCTGCCTAACTTCAGAGACCAAACGGGATTGGGCGCATTCAGGCTGCTATGGCTGTAGATGACTCAGAATGTTTCTGGGGGCTTCTCTCGTGTCACTGATACGTTTTTTAAAATGAATGAAAGTGTTCACAAAGTTCCTGTGCTGTATGTACTACAGAGGCCAGACCCTGCCTAACTTCAGAGACCAAACGGGATTGGGCGCATTCAGGCTGCTATGGCTGTAGATGACTCAGAATGTTTCTGGGGGCTTCTCTCGTGTCACTGATACGTTTTTTAAAATGAATGAAAGTGTTCACAAAGTTCCTGTGCTGTATGTACTACAGAGGCCAGACCCTGCCTAACTTCAGAGACCAAACGGGATTGGGCGCATTCAGGCTGCTATGGCTGTAGATGACTCAGAATGTATCTGGGGGCTTCCCTCGTGTAACTGATACGTTTTTTAAAATGAATGAAAGTGTTCACAAAGTTCCTGTGCTGTATGTACTACAGAGGCCAGACCCTGCCTAACTTCAGAGACCAAACGGGATTGGGCGCATTCAGGCTGCTATGGCTGTAGATGACTCAGAATGTATCTGGGGGCTTCTCTCGTGTCACTGATACGTTTTTTAATATGAATGAAAGTGTTCACAAAGTTCCTGTGCTGTATGTACTACAGAGGCCAGACCCTGCCTAACTTCAGAGACCAAACGGGATTGGGCGCATTCAGGCTGCTATGGCTGTAGATGACTCAGAATGTTTCTGGGGGCTTCTCTCGTGTCACTGATACGTTTTTTAAAATGAATGAAAGTGTTCACAAAGTACCTGTGCTGTATGTACTACAGAGGCCAGACCCTGCCTAACTTCAGAGACCAAACGGGATTGGGTGCATTCAGGCTGCTATGGCTTTAGATGACTCAGAATGTTTCTGGGGGCTTCTCTCGTGTCACTGATACGTTTTTTAAAATGAATGAAAGTGTTCACAAAGTTCCTGTGCTGTATGTACTACAGAGGCCAGACCCTGCGTAGCTTCAGAGACCAAACGGGATTGGGCGCATTCAGGCTGCTATGGCTGTAGATGACTCAGAATGTTTCTGGGGGCTTCTCTCGTGTCACTGATACGTTTTTTAAAATGAATGAAAGTGTTCACAAAGTTCCTGTGCTGTATGTACTACAGAGGCCAGACCCTGCCTAACTTCAGAGACCAAACGGGATTGGGCGCATTCAGGCTGCTATGGCTGTAGATGACTCAGAATGTTTCTGGGGGCTTCTCTCGTGTCACTGATACGTTTTTTAAAATGAATGAAAGTGTTCACAAAGTTCCTGTGCTGTATGTACTACAGAGGCCAGACCCTGCCTAACTTCAGAGACCAAACGGGATTGGGCGCATTCAGGCTGCTATGGCTGTAGATGACTCAGAATGTTTCTGGGGGCTTCTCTCGTGTCTGAAAGTGTTCACAAAGTTCCTGTGCTGTATGTACTACAGAGGCCAGACCCTGCGTAGCTTCAGAGACCAAACGGGATTGGGCGCATTCAGGCTGCTATGGCTGTAGATGACTCAGAATGTTTCTGGGGGCTTCTCTCGTGTCACTGATACGTTTTTTAAAATGAATGAAAGTGTTCACAAAGTTCCTGTGCTGTATGTACTACAGAGGCCAGACCCTGCCTAACTTCAGAGACCAAACGGGATTGGGCGCATTCAGGCTGCTATGGCTGTAGATGACTCAGAATGTTTCTGGGGGCTTCTCTCGTGTCACTGATACGTTTTTTAAAATGAATGAAAGTGTTCACAAAGTTCCTGTGCTGTATGTACTACAGAGGCCAGACCCTGCCTAACTTCAGAGACCAAACGGGATTGGGCGCATTCAGGCTGCTATGGCTTTAGATGACTCAGAATGTTTCTGGGGGCTTCTCTCGTGTCACTGATACGTTTTTT